AAAAAGAAAGAGGACCCAATTTCTTTCAAGAACAAGAAACAATGTTCATCATATTTTAGCCCCAAAATCCAAAGGATTTCTATTTAGATTTCTTAACTAGGTATGTTGATTTCACTAGTGAGTTTCTTTCATCCATTAGGTCCCTAGAATTAAACCAGTTCCTTGATTCTACATAGATTGTATAGACCTAGTGTTTGAATAAATCTTTGGAAATTTTTTGTGATTTCATCTGCTATAGAATCCATAGTGCAAGTAACATGTTTTCGTAGACACGTTAAATCAATATTGTTTTCTCCAGACTTACATTAGGAGGCCAAAATTAATAATGTTTGCTAATATTTTTGCTTCATTTTTCTTTTGATATAATAAATTAAATAAATTTAAAATTCATTTTTTGAAATGTGAGTAAAATTTCCAAATTCAACTTGGGAAAAAATGAACAATTTCATAACAAAACACTAATATCGTAAAAGGAATGTTATTTTTAAGAAAGTTAATACAATTTATATACCGTGACTTTTATGAGAAAATGAAAACGAACAAGAAACACTTGTTTATTTTTACAACACTTGCATTAACCGATATTGATTCATTCAATTTATATTCAACCAAATTAAGATTTTTACCAATCTAACAGCTATACATTAATGCAAGATATGCCTAATTTAAGGAAAAAGATTGGATGACAATTCACTAATTAATTTAGTTCCTCTAAAAAAACACTCAAAACTTTTCTTTAAAAAATGGAGAAAGTTGAAGAAAATATGGTGTTATCATGTGTAGTGCGACATCATGGGTTAGAAGATGACTGCCAAATTCTCAAATTTAATTTCTGCTTTACGTCAATTTATTCTTTTAGTTTCATATGTAGAATTTCATGTTAAGTATCAAAGTTAAAAAGTCATTTTAAATGTCGATAACAAACAAATTTTACTAATGAAGAAAATGATGACATATATACTTACAAAAACATAAAGATTATTTAGCATAACAAGTCTAAAATGGAAAAAATGAATTTTCATAAATGAAATTACTTGATTTTTCCAAGAGAAAAAACATTATCTTATTGTTAATGACTTTCCACATAACTAAGGATACTCCATCTTTATTATAAATTCAAATTTTTTTCTTTTTAATTACTCATTACTTATGATGTTGACAGAATTATGAATTTACACTAAATATCAAAACAGCATTGTAAAAATATTTTAGGAATTTTTTTTCAAAACAATATGATTAACCATATATTTTTTAATAACAGATTTCTTAACTAATTCATGTTTTTTTAATCATAAAAGCACTAATTTTTTGTTAAATTTTATAATTGGCCCTAAATAAATATTTATTAATTTTGCAATTTTCGAAATTCATGTTGTAGACCTTTTTTTTGGGTACACTTAAAAAGACCTAAACTGGAAAAAATGAATTTTGATAAATGAAATTACTTGATTTTTCCAAGAGAAAAAAACATTATCTTATTGTTGGTGACTTTCCACATAACGAAGCTTAAGAAATTGAGTCGTTTGTGAAGAGGAGTATGAGAACTAAGGCATGCGAATTCAAGAATGATCCGGATAATTATTACAAAGGGAAATACCGAAGAATGAAAAAGAAAACATAAGAATATTTTTGAAGTAATGAGTGAAGCTTACTAGAAGGCGGTCAAATTTATAGATGTTTTTTAGGTGCATTAAATTTCTTTTGTATTGAAGTTCAGGCGGTTCATACTTTATTGTAAATATATATTCGAGACTATAATAAATTACTTAACCTCATCATGTGCCTTTTTTTCTCAAGATTTTGTGCTTTGAAGGAAGAAAAAGTCTCATAATTGAATTAACATAATGTAGTTGATGATCAACTGTTTGGTATGTAATTTTGCATCAACCTCTTTATGTTTTTTTCGGAAATAATATTGATAAACTTGTTAGTATATTGGTGAATTTTTATATTATTTTACTTTTAAAATTTCTCCTATCTTATCACCCTCTATGACCCACTCTTCCTAGGAAAACGTTAGTAGAACATTGGGAGTAATTGCCTTTTATTTAGTGACAAAACGTGGTCAGTCATGACTATAACATTTTATTTAGTGACGGAACGTGGTTAGTCATGACTAAAACTTCTTACTGAAACTCCATTATATTACACATAATTTTATCTTTTTATGTTTTGTAATGGGATAAAGCGCAAGTACCTCTAGAATATGACCAAAATCTCAGAGTCAAACCTAAACTTAACTAGGGCCCTATTACTCACTCCAGAAATCATTTTTTCCTATTTTTGTGCACTTGTTGTGATGGCGTGGCACGTTCAACCATCTAAGCAAGTTGTGTTTGTACATTGGCCTGCCACGTGTGTGAATATATATATATATACACACACACATACATATATTGAAAAAATTAATATTTCTAAAAACTATATTACTAAAAAATATTCTTATTTTCCTTATCTTGTGTTTAAATTAAGTTAATAATTTTTTTTACCTTATGCCGAAACTTCTAATCTTTTACCTTGATTAATTGTTTTTCCATTGATATTATTTTCCTTGTCTTTCGTTTTAAATTTATTTCAAATCTAATTCCTAGTCTCTTGTATTTAATAACTTAATTTTGAACAGATATCAAAATAAATGAAGAAAACCAAATAAAACATCAAACAATGAAATTTTAAAACTGAAGGACACTTTTAATTTATTTTTTTAAAATAATCTTTTAAAAGTTTGAAAGTGAAAAGATAACAAATTAATTTTTAAAAAGTTTAACTGAGAAAGAAATTAAAATAAGTATTTAATAAAGAATGAAATAAAAATAATTGAGTATATATAAGTTATATATATAAGTTTTATATATATATATATATATATATATATATACACACACACATACATACTACCTTAAAACATGAATTAGATAACTTGAATGTTAAATTACTAAAATACCCCCAAATTAAAACACTATATGTAGTATATATGTTATATATTTAATATTATATTAATTTATGCGATATTATACTAAAAGCATACACACTTTCACACTACTGCGCAGTAACTCTTCCGAAAGGTTCTGATTTTTTATAATGTTGTGACTTTTTCGATGAGTTATGACATATTCGCAAAGATGTGATTTTTTTGAAGGGTTGTGATTTCTCAAAAAAAAAAAAACCAATAAGAACCTTTACATAATATCCTTTAATGACTTTAAATAGAGGGGGTTTCTTACACTTTTTAATTACAAATTTTGTAAATTTTCTATTCTTCTTCTAAAAATTAGGAAAACGGTGAGAGTTGTTCAATCATGCAATTATAATATTTTTTGATTTTCTATTCTTCTGTAATGACCCGCGAGGTTATTTTTCAAAATTTAAATTATTCATATAACTTGAATTAATTTATTTATGGTTAATGGAAAATAATGGAATTATTAGATAGTTAGTGGGCTAAAGTGATCATTTGTTAAAGATCTTATACTATTAGGGTCATGTTTTAAAAGAATAAGTTAGTGGTTTTGGTCAGTTTAATAAACAATTAATTTAGAAAAGAAGAAGAGGTAGATATTTTACCTGAGCGAGGCACACAAGAGGAAAAGAGATAGCGATCTGCAGGTAACAATCACTCGTACTTTGTTATAATTAATTTTGCTTAATTGATTAGGGGTAAAGGCAGTATTTTATGAGTTTAAGGAATGGGTTTGAATGCAATTAATGTTCCGTCTTATGCAAAGCTGGGTTAATTATAGTTGGGGTGAATTGATGAGAGGTGACTAAAGATAGTTAGTTTACAATTGGAGACAATATTTTATGTAAAATAAAGAAATTAATTAGGTGTTATTGGAATGGAAATTACGTTATGGTTGTAAAGTTACCTGTGACGATTTATTAAGAGTGATAAGTTTTTTATTTTAATAATGTTTACTTTATATTTAAAAATAGTGTTCTACCGTGTTTGACATTCACGTGCAATGCACGTGCGTCAAAACTAGTACCATTTAAAATATGACGTTGGAAAAAATTGGGATACAATCCTAGACTTCAAACTTGGGAACTATGATAGTGGAAATTTTAATTGACATCAAGAATTACAAACTTGATTATAAATTTGGGTGAATTTTTAGTTCAAGGTTAAACACATAAAAATGTGGGAACTGTTAATTTCAAAACCTTATTGTGAATTATATACAGGAATAAATTCCATTGATTCGGAAGCTCAACGAAAAGGAAAGATTCAAGTCTTAGAGTGATTATTCGGTTGGCTAAGGCAAGTGGATTTCTAAACCATTGTTAAGCGTATGAAATTCGTGTATTTCCTTGTGTGGTGTTGAGAATTATTTGGGGACTTGTTGCTTATTTGTTGGTGTTGTATTCCTTGTTGTAAATTGTGTTTTGTTATCAAATTGGTTATCTCCTTTCTTTTTTTGAGCATGTCATTTGCATTGTATCTGAAACATGGTAGTGATAATAGTAAAGTGATACAAGGATGTACCATTTCGACGGTTGTATCGCGCGCCGCGATGGATATTATATTTCGAGGGACATAACGCGCGCTGCGTCGGTTACTATTATCGAGGATTGTGTCATGCGCCACGAAAGATGCAAGTACAGATATGTCCCCCGTGGGTCCAAAACTGAGAGACATCGGGTGTGTATCGTTAGGAAAGAAATTCATTACTATACTTTACATTGAATCTCATGGCATCGCACATTTTTATTATTGATGATCCTGAACACGTGTTTTGCTTATCTTTTGAGTGTTTCTCTGTGAAAATTGTGACTGTTGAATATTGAGTTGTTATTGAGAATATGTAAGTTGATAGAGTATGGTTATTGAGTTGTGTGTTTGGTAAATTGTGAATTGTTTGACTGTAGCGTGGAAGTTCGGATAGGGTCTAAGGAGTACTCATGTTTTGTTCACTTAACTTGTGTTTAGAGGTTTGCTAGTTGGGTACCACGTAGTTTCGTACTCAGCCCTTGCTTCTACAAATTTTTGTAGGTTACGTGCCTGGATCTTCATGATACCTTCCATTCTCTTCGTTTTCGAGGCATCTTGTGGAGGATTGTGAGGTAGCTACTTGTCATCTCAACGAATTTTCTGAATCAAGTTTATGACTTTGTTTTTACTTGAAAGACAACTTCATTCTAGACTCGTACTTTTACTTAAATTCAAGTATTTACATTAGAGGCTTTTGCACGTGACAACCAGGTTTTGGGGATTGAATTAAGTTGAATTATTATCATAGTAGTAAGTCTTATCAGAGTTTGGATTTATTTTCACATTTTATAAAAATTATTTGGTTAGATTGATTTATCTTGGGGGAATAAGACGAGTTTCATCACACTCATTTTTGGGTCGTGACATCTTCTTCTTTAAATAAGAAAGATTGTGAGAGTTTTTCAATCATTAAATTACAATATTTTTAGTGGGTAAAATAGATAGATCGACAAAAATCGATTCGACAAGGCAAATGAAATAACTAAAATTTAATTGAAAAGATTATGTTGATAATTCATATTTACACATTGTCGTAGTAATAAAAAATATTTTTGTAGCAGCTTATACTTAACAAAAAGATCAATAATTTTTTTTGCACAAACTACAACTTAGTTTTGAAAATTAAAAAAGAGTCTCAAATTGTGGGGGAAAATGTATTTGATCAGAAACTTATTTGAAGAGTCGAAACTACGTTTAGTAAATACTCATTCCTTTTCAATTTATTTAGTGTACATTTACTATTATTCAGTTTAATATAGATTTTTTTTTCTTTGGGTGGAAAACATCTCTAAGATCACAAAGTGAAAAGAACGTTTATTATATTCAACATATGATCCTTAAATTGAAATTCTTCTTTATTTTGTAAAATTTCATATCAAATTAAAATTAGACCAATGTATATATACATTTTTTATTGTCTATACTATCTAACTTAAAACACTTAATATAGTATATCATCTATATTTTATGTTGTATTACATTTACTTGTGTGTTTTTTACTACATTATGTTAAAACAGACACATTTTCACAATTGAAGGGTTGTGACATTTTCGAAGAGTTATAAATTTTCAGATTTTGTGAAAGGGTTGTGACTTTTCTAGAGGGTTGTGAATATGAAGAGTTGTAACTTTTCTGGAAGGTCGTGAAATTTCTTATTAGTTATGATTTTTCGGAATGATTATGAGTTTTCTAAAGGGTTGTGACATCTTTTTGATAAGGCACAATAAGTAGTTTCACACACTAACCTTTGTTGACTATAAAAAGAGGGATTTCCTCAAAAAAAAATTAACAATTTTTTTTAAAAAAAATATTCATTATTCCTGTTCTTCTTCTTCTTAAAAAATTCTATTAAGTATATCTTCTATATCTTTTTGATGAAACAATATGCACATACTATTACTACACATTTTAACTATAAATGATGGTGTTTTCTCACATTTTTAAACTTCATTTTAAAAAAGTTTTTAGTTCTTCTTTTCTTAAAATATCAGAATTGATTTATAGACGTGGACAATCTCAAAGGTTAGTGAAATTAGAATATTCCCTTACATGAATGTTAAATTAATCTAATATTCCAACTAAAAAAGCAAATTTAGTACATATTCTATATTTTAAAATAATATTTATATTATATCAAAAGTAAGAACACCAAAATAAAATAATAAAATAGTACTAAGCTAAACAGAATGGAGGAGAAAGTATATTGAAGATGTGTAATTACGATTTATTAAGAGTGATAAGTTTTTTATTTTAATAATGTTTACTTTATATTTAAAAATAGTGTTCTACCGTGTTTGACATTCACAAGCAATGCACGTGCGTCAAAACTAGTAATTAGTAAATATGTGTACTAACTAATTATAAATTTGCTAATCAATAAATGACATTTATCCAATTTCTGCACTCATCACTTGTCTTCAAGTGTGTGTGAACACTGTCTATGCCATATTTATGTATGTAGTATATTTATTCCATTTTAAATTAATTTGGGGGGGGGGGGGGGAATAACCAGACCTAGTTAAATGTAGGTATGTCTTTGATATTTTGGTCATAGTCCACAGGGTAATTGCACCTTATCCCTGTTATAATTTATGTTAACTCTAGGCCATTTATCTACCTAATATATTAGCCCCATAATCTTTCTATTGCAAGGAAGAATTTTTCTACTATAAATAGTGATGGTCTTACTATTTAATTAGAAAAACATTAAGAATAATTGCTTGTTGCTTAGTAACTAAACATGGTCAGTCATTGCCATAACTTCTCATTGGAACTACATTATTTTATCTATTTTATTTTTTGTGATTCATGTAACCTCTAGGTCATTTATTTACCAAATTTAGTACCACATACTCTTCCTACTTGTTGCAAGGTAAATTTGTCCCCTATAAATAGTGATGGTCTTACTTTTTGGCATTACTTTGGAAGTAATTGCCTTTTTTTTAGTAATAGAATGTGGTCCTTCATATTGGCCATAACTTCTCATTGAAACTCTATTATGTAACGATCAGGTTTCTTCGTTATAGAACAGTCAATGGGGAATATTTTTGCCGGAAACTTTTTCGAGTATTTTGAATTTTTTCAACCTAGTTTAGACTTGGACGAAATTGGAGTAATTAAGTTTTAGGGAGATCTAGTACCAATAGGTTGATTTATTTATAATTTCGATTGAATGAGGGGGTAGGTAACTCATTAATGAAACTGTACGACTTTATACAATTGATCTTGGGCAAGTAGATCTCCGTAAATTGATCTTAGCACGAAAGAGGTTTTCTGAGTGCCGTCAGTTAAATGTGTGTTTTGAAACGGAGGCCTTGGAATTATTTGAATAGCTCACTGTTTCATCCAAGACTCTTTGGTGTAGGATTTTGCCACTATGGAGGGGCCTCTTTGGACGGTCATACGCCACTTAAAGTAGTTTATACATTCCCTATACAACTTTATTCTACACTTCTTGATTGTTAGAGTTATGGAACGAAAGCCATGCGAGTTTCGATAGTTTTGTACCATTCTTTAGGCTAAAGGAATGTTTTTTACTCCCCAAATCATTTTTTTGATCCGTTGAACACAATAGAATCGGTAAATTATCAATGAGGGATGGTTTTTAATACGAAACCATGGTTGAAAAAACTTAGTTTGGATACTTGGGATCATGAGTATGATCTAGATTTTTTGAGTCTAGTATTATATTTATTGTTTGTAAACAAAGAACAAGCAGAACGAATCCATAAAGGGAAGGATTTAGGGTTTCAATCTTGTTTTGAGATTGGTAATGATTGTTACTTTATGATATGTTTGTTTGTGCTTTATTGTGATACATGTATGTATGCGAAAGTTGCATTATTTATCACTCTTTCTGTAAGTTAATATGAAGGAATACCTACATGCCATGAATCACTTCTTGAATATATCATATTGAGAATATACTTGCGCTTGTAATTGTAATATGTGTAAAGGAACAGGTTCCACATTTTGGCATAACCAATTGGGATCGATTGTCACTTTCCTACTTAAAGATGGGATAGATTGTCACATTTCAACATAACTATTTGATTGGGTGACACATTCTGGTATACTATTAGTGTGAGTTTGGGTTTCATGAGAGAACCAACTACTTGACATAATTTTACTATCTTGAGAATTGTTAAATTGTACGTTGTTCATATATATTTATAATATTTTGCATGTTCGATTCTTTGCATGTTTATGATGTTATATTTATTTGCTTATGTTACACTTAGTGAGATAGTTGTGTGGTCCTATCTGAACTTGCTCTTATTTTTGTTGAGTAAAGGGCATATTGGGCTATTGAAAGACCTTGTCGTGAAGATTAGTGATGTCGTTCGAATTCAAGGGTGAGTCAATTTGTTTTCTAATAAGTTCAAAGATATCTATGCATAAACCTAAATTTGTTTTCTCTATTCCTGTTTTATTGACATAATTTTCTGCTTATAACCATGTTATGAACTTTTCTTTTGAATAGTAGGTCTATTAGAACTAATATTCTCATGACACATTGATATGGGTAAAATATGTTTACAACTTAATTATTACTTTCCTCAAACTCATTTGTGTGATTACACGAAAAATTCTTTAATAGAAAATTTGACTTCAAAATAGGTCTGAATAAACCATCTTTTGGATTGTGGATAAATTAAAAAAAAGACTCTTTATGACGAAAAACAGGGATAAGATATGTGTATGTCCTACCTCCCATATTTAACATTAAGATGAATATCTTTTTCACAAATAAAACTTGATATTGGGCAAGACTTCATTTACATCATGCTATGGTGATGTTAGAAAAAATGATCACAAATCATGACAAATTTACTTATATAAAGTCATGGTGATCGTCAAAAATTTGTTCTCAAACCTGGATGAATCACCATAATATATTCAGCATTAATGAGAATAATCATATAATTTAATTTATCTATTGATATATTTGGGATAGTTCGGAAGGAAGTGGAACTGATACACTTCCTACTAGTAATGTTTAGCTCTATCTATTTATATTTTGTAATTTCATAAAAGATAAACTAATGTGTGTGTAGAAATTTTCCAGCCCATTTCAACGGAATGTTTTTTCTTTAATAATCGTGATTAGCTTGATTGTATGGGTTGAAATGTCTCATTTCGAGAGGGTTAAACACGGTGATGTTTGGCATTTTAGCTGATAGATGGTATATTGATTTCTTTTACTCCTACACAATCCGAATGTAAGTAGTTGTGAAGGGGGATGAAGGTATTTTCTATGTGATGAACTAACGAAAATCATGGAAATTTCATATTTTAACTATTTTGAAAATATTACATGATCTACATTTCCATATCATATTTGATATTTCTTTAACTTCCTAATATATCAAGAAAAATCTGTTTTAAAGAATTAATTTTTTGGTCATATAGGTCATTTTATAAATTATTAAAAAATAAAAATAAAGTTTTTGCCCAACCCTAAACTAATCTGATTAGGGTAGATCCCTCAATCATTAACCCTATCTATAAAAGCTAACTACAACTTCCTCTTGAGCACGCCTGCTTTTCTTCTTACTATGTTGCCCCCTTGCTCACGTCTGAATGTTAAACTACTACTTATTCTATTGCGGGCGGTACAAGCACTCTCACACAGACGCACTCAAGCACGCATGTACACATGCACACACGCGTGCGCACATACGTGCGCACGCGCGCACATATACACACCCTCATTATTGTAATAAAATCTACTTTTTTAGCGCTACCCCGTGGCATGAAAAATCTAATTTTTATTTTCTACCTCCTAGTATTCTTTCTTTTAGAAATGTCCTAATAATAAGGATTTTGAATTTACTTCTAGTGGGATGAAACTCAAAAAATCTTCTTGCATGCACACAAACAGATTATTGAAGTGAAATCTACTTTTTTGGGGCTACCCCATGGCGTGAAAAATTTTATTTTTATTTCCTATCTCCTAGTCTTCTTTCTGTTAGAAGTGTTCTAATAATAATGTTGTTGAATGTACTTCAAGTGAGATTAAACATAAAAAATCTTTGATAGATGATGTTAAGCACATTCCCCTATTATGGTCTTTCTGTTTTGATGACGAGTATTTCCCCGTGGGTTGCCAAATCTAAACAGAATCTCAATTAGGCTTCAAGCTACCGTGAATCGAATTCACAATGGATCACAAGAGGGTTCAATCTTATACGACTAATGTTCACAAAAAATTGTAAAACCTCCTTTAAGAGAAGTAAAAATAGGGGGATAATATGATAGTGACTTTTACATTCATATTTTAAATTTTCATAATATCATATATGGAATATTTCCAAAAAATGGATTCATATATAACTACAATAGTCCACCATATTAGAATTACATATCTTAGGTATAGTTCAATAATTTAACATTTAGAAAAAAAGAAAGAGATAACTAGAACAGAGTGATTTTACTTAAATAGGACTGTAAGAACACTAATACAGTCTTTTCCTATTTTGGTTAGGTGCAACACCAACACATAAATCATAAGGGAGTACCAATTTCTTACCCATTTTATGAAAAGAGACATCGTGTGCTTAGCAAAATGATTTTTGAAGGGTTCGTATCATTGATATGAAGATGATCTGAAGAGGAAGTTGAATATTATCAACCTCTCTCATCCAAGGTATAATAATTGTATTCTGTACCTTGAAGTGTTAGTTTTGTCATGGACGTCATAACAACGTAACAATGAATTGATTTGATGAGCAAGTTTGAATCTGTTTCATTACTTCTTATAATGATGGCACTGTGCTCTCTGATAATAAATATAGTATAGATGTGAAGGTTTTCATAGTTTAAATGATGTTGAAGTTGTTGAACTCAATGTGGAATCGGGGTATGAAGGTTTTCATAAAAGTTTTTAATTTGGGTCATGGTAATGGTTCTCCCATTGCAGGGTGATAAGGCTACCAATCACGACGCTGTAGGTTGTAACATATTTTTTCACTCACTATTCTATCTTTTTATGTCTTCTAACTCATGTAAGCTAGATGTCATTTATCTACCAAAGTAACTACCACATATTTTTCTTATTCATTACAAGGACGAATGTCTCCCATATAAATAGTGATGGTATTACTTTGTTAACAGTAACACAATGTTGGAGTAATTGTGATTTATTTAGTGATTGAACGTGGTCAGCCATATTTGCCATAACTTCACATTGAACTTTTGAATTATACTCATTATCGAAACTCATGTAACCTCTTGGTCATTTGTTTATCCAAGTTACTACTCCATAATCATCCTATTCATGGCAAGAAAGAATATCCCCACTATATATAATGATGATCTTATGTTTTTCAATGTATAAGAAAATATACTACGCATAAAAATGAGTAAATAAAATTACTTATTAGTTGAAGGAAGATTCTCTTTTTATGAAGCTTTGGATTAAATTCTTGTCTCATAATTTTTTATTTGTACTTGGAGATTGAGGTTTATTTTCTGGAGAAGACATGTTAAGAAACTATTGCTAGACTACTGAAAAAACTTATTATCGTGGGATAAAATCTCCTTTAAAAGAGAAAGATATTTATTCATATCTCAACCTAAAAATTTATTTTTAATTGTTATTTTCTAATTTCACCAATAAAAATTACTTGACTTTTCTTTTTCATGTTTGATATTTCTTTAACATCCTAAATTACCCTGAAAACCCTTTTTTTAAAGATCAATTTTTTGGTCATATAGGTCATTTTATTATTTATCAAAAAATAAAATTAAAGTTTTGGCCCAAGCCCAACCTAATCTGATTAGGGTAAAGCCCACATTCATTAACCTTCTCTATAAAATCTAACTTCAGCATCCTCTTGAGCTCATCTTCATTTCTTCTTACTATGTTGCCTCTATGCTCACGTCTAAATGTTACACTACTCCTTATTCTCTTGATGGCGGTACAAGCTCTCTCTCACACGCATGCACACACACACGCACGCATGTATGCACGCACACTCACACATTTTTGAAGTGAAATCTACTTTTTTGAGGCTACCCCATGGCGTGAAAATAATATTTTTATTTTCCTTCTCCTAGTCTTCTTTCAGTTAGAAATGTTCTAATAATAAGGTTTCTAAATGTACTTCAAGTGGGATGAAACTTTAAAAATCTTCCTGCGTTCACATGTACACATTATTGAAGTGAAATCTACTTTTTTTGGGCTACCCCGTGGCGTGAAAATTTTTTTTTTTATTTCCTATCTCCTAGTCTTCTTTTTGTTAGAAGTGTTCTAATAATAAGGTTGTTGAATGTACTTCAAGTAAGATGAAACACAAAAAATCTTCGATAGATGATGTTAAGCATATATTGCAGCAAAATGACTAAGTTGAAGTTTCTTTTCCCCTATTATGGTCTTTCTGTTTTAATGACGAGTATTTCCCCGTGGATTGCCAAATCTAAACAGGATCTCAAGTAGGCTTCAAGATACCGTGAAATGAATTCACAATGGATCACAAGAGGGTTCAATGTTATACGACTAATATTCAAAAAAAATTGCAAAACCTCCTTTAAGAGTAGTAAAAATAGGGGGAAAATATGATAGTGACTTTTACATTCATATTTTAAATTTTCATAATCTCATATATGGAAATATTTTCAAAATATGCATTCATATATAACAACAATAGTCCACCATATGAGAATTACATCTCTTTAGAATAGTTCAGTAATTTAACATTTAGAAAAAAAGAAAGAGACAACTAGAACAAAGTGATTTTACATAAATAGGACTGTAGGAATACTAATACAGTCTTTTCCAATTTTGGTTAGGTGCAACACCAACACATAAATCATAAGGGAGTACCAATTTCTTACCCATTTTTATGAGAAAAGACATCATGTGCTAAGCAAAATGATTTTTTGAAGGGTTCGTATCATTGATATGAAGATGATCTCAAGAGGAAGTTGAAGTATTATCAACCTCTCTAATCCAAAGTATAATAATTGTATTCTCTACCTTGAAGTGTTAGTTTATTCATGGATGTCATAAAAATGTAACAATGAATTGATTTGATGAGCAAATTTGATTCAGTTTCATTACTACTTATAATGATGCCACTGTGCTCTCTAATAATAAATATAGTATAAATGTGAAGGTTTTAATAGTTTAGATGATGTTGAAGTTGTTTAACTCAACTTGGAATAAGGATATGAAGGTTTTCATAAAAGTTTTTAATTTGGGTAATAGTAATGGTTCTCCATTCGCAGCGTTGATATGGGTACCTGTCACGACCCAAAACGAGCCGCGAGTGGCACCCACACTTATCTTACTATGTGAGTGAGCCAAGCAATCTAAACCCCAACATTTCAAATATAATAAAAAGAATAATAATGCGGAATACTTAAACCACATTAGTATAACCAATAAATAACTTCTAAAATTTATCAATTACTATCCCAAAATCTGAAAGTCATCATCACAAGAACATCTATCCTCAAATTACTAAGTCTAAGAGTATCTAAGAAGCTAAAATAACTAAACATATAGTCCATGCAAGAACTTCAAGGCATCCAGACATGAAGAAGAAGATCCAGTCCAAGCTAGAAGCTTTAGCTCACCCTGAAATCTGGTGTGACGAAAATTGGCTAGAGTTGCGATGGAGTTGAAGACGACGGTACGTTTGCTGCACTCCACAAATAGTAAAAAGAAAACATACAAGTAGGGGTCAGTACAAAACACAGGTACTGAGTAGATATCATTGGCCAACTCAAAATACAAAACAGTATATATCAGATAATATCATAAAATCAACTACAATACTCAACAGGTAGCAACACAAGTACGAGAATCATTGATAAATAACGCCAAGTACACCAATGAGGACTCAAGCCTCCATACCATACTCATTTGGAAAATAGGTTCATTAAATTGAGTATATTAACATATTTCAAGATTCATTCTCTCTACTATCCTAGTGTCAGAACGTGACATTACGATCCTCATCATACTATCTTGGTGTCGGAACGTGACACCAGATCCACTATTACTATCCTGGTATCGGAACGTGACACTCGATCCACTATTACTATCCTGGTGTCGGAACATGACACCCGATCCCATTCATACTATCCTGGTGTCGGAACGTGACACCCGATCCATTAATACTATCCTGGTGTCGGAACATGACACCCGATCCTCTATTACTATCTTGGTGTCGGAACGTGACACCCGATCCTCTATTACTATCCTGGTGTCAGAACGTGACACCCGATCCACTAACCTCATTCTTTTAGTTCATCAAACCTGCTTTTATACGAAGGCATCATCATTAACAAAGAGGTTTCAAGGTTTAGGATTCAATAGCCTCATCATGCTTATTTTATCGCAATTATATAATCACATCATGCAAGATACAATTAAGTATATAGGAGACTTTACAAAACTACCCAATACATATTATTCGCTATCAAGAGTTTACTATGAAATGCATAAACCATAACCTACCTCTACCGAAGAATTCGTGATCAAGCAACCTACTTTCCCAAACCCTTGCGTTCTCCTCTTCTCTCGATCGTTTCTCTCTTTACTCTCTGTTCTTTCTCTTTTTCTTATTCAAACCCTTTTGTCTTTTACCCTAATTGTCATATAATTAAGTATAAAGATGGTAAAAGTAACCCACTATTTATTCCAAAGTTATCTCTTTTAACCCCCAAGTAATTGAATTATTAACATTCAACCACTAACTTTATAATTATAAGCAGGAATTGTCCAAAACGCCCCTTAAAATGTTTAATAGAAATCCGACCCAATAAGGGTTACGCAGCCTGTGAAGGCTCGTCGTACCTTCAACGGTCCGTCCTGCTGCTTCCGTCACAAAGTTCACAGAATTGATTTTATTTAAGACTCTGTGACGGTCCGTCGTGCCTACGACGATCCGTCCTGCCATTTCGTCGCGAAGCTCAGAGAGTTGTTCTCAGTACCCAAATTTCTAGAATCTAAGTGTTTTGGAACGAGACCCCCTCAACGGTCCGTCGTGCCCATAACGGTCCGTCGTGGGATCCGTCGACTCAGACAGTTATTACCAGAAATAAACTCTACAGCTCAAAACGACTAAACAGGTCATTACAATAGATACCAATTTACCCATCGTTCGTCCTCGAATGATCACAAGAAGAAGAACAAGGACGAAAAGGAGTACCTTAATCTGTAAACAGGTGTGGGTATCTTTCTTGCATATCGGCCTCCTTCTCCCAAGTGGACTCTTCAACTGGTCGATTCTTTATTGAACTTTCATGGATGCAATCTCCCTTGATCTCAACTTGCGGACTTCTCTATCTAAAATAGCAACAAACTCCTCCTCGTAAGATAAATTCTCATCAAGAAGGACCGAATCCCAACGAACAATGTAGTTTCCATCACCATGGTATCTTTTCAACATAGACACATGAAATATCGGGTGCACTCCTGACAGTCCTGGGGGTAAGGCTAATTCATAAGCTACCTCCCCCACGCGCTTCAGAACTTCAAAGGTACCAATGTACCTCGGACTAAGCTTACCTCGCTTACCAAACCGCATCACCCCTTTCATGGGCGAAACCTTCAGTAAGACTTGCTCACCCTCCATAAACTCCAAGTCTCTAACCTTCCGATCTGCATATTCCTTCTGCCTACTTTGAGCCGCTAGAAGCTTTTCCTGAATGCATTTCACTTTATCTAACGATTCCCTCAGAAGGTACGTACCCCAAGGTCTAACCTCAAATGCATCAAACCAATCAATGGGAGAACTACATCTTCTCC